CTGGCAGATTTCTTCCTACAGATTTAAACTCTTTCTGAATTTACAGAAATGAATAGTGTTTTGGAGGCCAGCAACACCTATAGTTAACAGGAAATTAGTACAACAGAGGCACACCACTAATAATCTTAGGAATTTAGAAATTTCTGAAGCCTTTGACATTTGCAACCAAACGATGACACCATGTTTCTGTGTATTAGTTTATTTAATTCTTTATCGCCACTAAGAGCAAGTAAATTATGTTGATACAATTGGTAAACATATACATTCGCTAGAACCTCCCACAATCCCACAGAGCTAAGGGAAACATTAAGGATGTTACAGGATTAATGCTTTCATTCTATAATATGGATATATGGCTTTCATACAAGTTTTAAAAAATTGAAAAGGTAACACACTACTAGCTTACAAAATCAATATACAAACTGGAAAAAATAAAAGAAAAAAAGGAACAGCATAAAGAACATAATCCATGAGAAGATATATAGAACTGGTTTAATAGATATATACAGAATTAGAAATCCATTGAACATGATACTCAGGCTTTAATTTGTTATTTTGACTTTCATTTCTTCTCTTACTTAGCACCCAAACCACAGGTATCAAGAGGATTTCTGTTTTGTTGTTTTTATTATTTATTTTTTTTCTTTTCTTTATTTTTTCCTCACTTTTTCTTTGCAGAGAAAAAGCCTTTTTCTTCTTAGGTTTCAATGTTCACACTTAATCAGTTCTTCCACTTTGAAGCTTTGAATAAAGCCCTTCCATGTTCTTACTGTGACAGAAGAGAGTGTCACTTTGATACTAAAAGTCCTATTGGCCATTTCGTTGGTGTGTGTTTGCATTTTCCTTGGGCACAGCTATCCTTAAAATATTGTGCTGGAGAAGAGAAGAAACATGACTCTCCAGCCTATATACTACTCTTTTATTAAAAAAACAGAACACAGGCCAAAAGTTCTCTCACTTCTGCTTTAGCTTTAAAACATGGCAGCATTAGTTGTGAGTCACATTTTGAGTTATGGATGCTCTTTTTTATATACTTTTGCTTCAATGTACATGGATCTTTATATATATGCAATGTGTATGAGCGTATATTTAAAGATGCTGTGTTTGACTGACATCCTGATGACGTGGTTCCTAGCTCCAAGAGGCAGCAGAAGTAGCCTGCATCTGCTGCAAGTCCCTTCAGTGATCACCATAGTCTCTGGACTACCAGAGCCATTTTCTTCAGATGTAATAACCTAGATGAGCTATATAATTATAATATAGGAAGTGTAATGAATCATCCATTGAGAAAAGTCAGATAGTGCCTGGTTGCCAAGCAGATTAGGCTGAGGGAATTCAAACAGTGTAATTAATTAAATGAAGTTGGCTAAGGGTAAGACAGCCCTGCAGAGGCTATTCATTTTCCTAGCTTTACATCACAGTATTCAATGCTAAAGCTTTTGTACGGTCTTTAACTTTGAATGACTTTCCAAAATAGGAACACTTGGAGAGTCTTTGTTTTGTTTCATCAGAAAAATCACACACTGGACTCACGCTTTCAGTTTCATTGTGATTTTAGATATGTACTTATTTTTTGGAAACTTGTGACGTCAAGACACTCCACATTTAAACGGAAAACTGCAGAAATGACAGAGGGCTTGCACAGCCCTACCAATGTAATGACAGAGAATATAGCTGAGTTCTCATGTTTTCCCTGAAATACATCATTTCTGCTTGGGTCAGTCATGGGGCCACAAGGCAGAAGAATGGCAGAAGGGGAACATTAGAAGAATTATTAAACCTCATTGTTTAGTTTTAATCCAAAAGTACATGAACATTTCTGTTGCTATGAAAAACACTATCTAGACCTTCTTCAAATTCAATTATCCATGAACTTTAATAGGGTCCTTCCACACTCTACTTTGCTCAGACAGTACTCACTATATATGAAACTCTATGCACCATGTTTCTTCCCTTTAATCTAAAGGTATAAGAGAATGTGTTGGGAAATGATCCAACTTCTTGCTCTGTTTATGTAGCTAAGGGGCTCTTCTGTTTGAGAGTAGCCATTCTTTCATCACACTCTCTACTCTTCATTATAAGTGATGCATTTCTTTTCCATGAGGAAGCCTCACTCGGGCTGAGCTATGACAGAGCAAGCCACACTCCCAACAGATACAGAGAACTAACTTGCTCATTCTTATATTACTTTGTTCACTGTCATCTTCTGATGAACACACGTTCACTGTTTCATTTATTTTTAATGTTAGAAGGTCACAATAAGAGGTAACTGATGGTAGAGGCTTCCTGGGACTGTTTTACAACAAGTCAGCAGGTAGTGGAGGATATATCCTTTAGCATTAGGAAGGATCAAAAATGTCTGCAGATGTTAGGTGGGAGGTGGATTGCCTTAGCAAAATTGTTGGAAAACCAACTAATACTACTAAAATTAGGGGTGAGCAGTGGAGGGCAGGCAATAGGTGAAATCTGTCCCCATACAGGAGAGAATATAGTCAGAACTTTGCATAAGATGCTCTCCTAGAGAGCTTTAAAAGATTGAATAAGAGATGTCTATCCTTCCCCTTAGCATGAGAATTTGGGAGATGTAAAAGATTATTGTGTCATGTCAGAATGGTGTACCTGAACAATATTTAGCTTTTGGAAAATCAGGAGGTTTACATTGTTAATTACATTGTTGTTGCAGAGCAATTTCAATAGCAACTGAGTACAAAAAATGTATTCATGCATAGGAAAAAAGAACAGATTCCTAGACTGAAGGAAAGCCAGGTTGTCTCCTGATGGATGCCTTCTTTTGAATATGGAGTGGGACTCCTCCATAATTTCAATAACACCCTATAAACGCCTAGTTCTCATTAAGGCACAAATAAAGCAAAGACAAAAAGCAAATGTGACACCACGTAATCCTGCCTTCTCTAATCAAAGAAGCAAGAAAAAGAAGTTTGCATAAAATGCTCCTGATAGTTTTTCTTTCTTCTTGACATTGGCCCTGTGAACAATGCTACATTGTCTGTTGATATGTTTTATAATTATCACTCCTGTATTTCTGCTTATTTTCCTCCCTTTGAAAAAACAGTACCAGTAGTAGTATGATTAGAAGATGAGAACCAGAAATTAGTATTTACCTGAATGTACAGCAAATGTTTTCCCCTCCTGGGGCCTTGCCCTAAAACATAACTTATGCTATAGTCTTGCTGCACTTAGTAGTCTGTGAAATATGCCAGGCTGACAAGCAATGATTCTCTTTCAATAGGGGCACTTCTGCCAGGAGACGTGCTGAAGTGTTAAAATGCCCCATTCCTCAAATACTGATTTAAATCAAGATACAGACAGCCTAATTGCTTGGAAGCATGGCTCAGCTTACTTAGAGGAAGCAGTGGGAGCTATACACAAATTTCTCTAAATTTAAACTTGCTGAAATCCAGAGGCTGGATGCAGAATCTCTCTTTTCTGATGTTCAGCAACTCACCCCTCTCCTTTCTGAGCACTTAGACCTCCCAGAAAAAGGCTGCCATTTGAGTAAAGTATGATAGATACACGTTAACAGTAAGATGCAAATATAGACCCAGATGTATGTGGTTGAGAGGTACAGAGGAAGTCTTCCTATTTCACACCCTCTGCTCACAGGACTGCTGTACTTCCTTCTGGTCCTAGTGTGATGCTTTGTTTGATTGTTTGATTTCTGTAAACTCTCTCCATGGATGCCCTACACTATCATTGTAACAATGGGAATTTGACTGACTTCCTTCAAAATCTATCAGGAATGTTTCTTTTGCAATCCAGATGGGCAGTTAATTGCAAGGGACAAAAGGTGATGGAGGAAGCAAAGGGAATTTGTTTTCTTTTTATTCACAAAAGTAGAAAAGAGAAGTCATATCTAAGGTTTGCTAATGGAGAGTCATACTGTAAGTCTCAGCATCAATCCCAACTACTGCCAGCTCCCTGTGAAATGTGGACTAGATTAACTCATGTAAGACAATGATGCAACAGTGTCTACACTCAAAGCTGAACTACTTCAAGTGAACTGATGCAGCATTTTGACAGACAAACCTTTGGTGAGTGAAAAAGCTTCTTCCTCCCTTTGTCGTCAATCAGATCTACCAATTCATTAGTTCAAGTCTGAGGCATAAGCAAAGGCAGACCTGATCAGACCATAAAACAAAATAAAATAAAACAAAACAAAACAACAAAATGAAAAGGAAAAAAAATAGCACCCAGCATCACCCAAATAAAAGCCTTTATGAATTGCAACTTGTCATTTTGGGTTTGGTCATTGCACGTCCACCATATCTGGGACATTAATTATATCACTGTCTCAGGTATGTCTAATAGTATAGTCAAAATAACAAGGACATCAACAAAGACTGCAAAACTCACCCAAGTAGTCTGAGAAATATTTGTGACTAGTCTATCCTGACTATGTGCAGCCTGGCTTCAGAAGGGTTTGGGAATGTCTACAGAAGGACTTGCCTCACTGTGAGTCCAGATCAGCTATAGTCCCCATGTGAGAGAATAAAAGTGGACAAGCTCTGCTTTTTTTAATTTTTATTTTCTGCTTAGAAAAGGGAAGTGAGAAGATAGACCAGTAAAAGACTCTGCATTACTATAAGCTAATTCCAAAAGAGCATTGTGATTTACCCAGATGATTGCACCCTGATGCAGTTTCACTGAAGTCAATGAGTATCTGCAGGAGCAAAAGGGAGACTACGGGAGACTTCCTGTTGACCAGCAGGCAAAGCCTGGGGCCTACACCAATGGCGAAGCTTACTTCTTGCTCATGAAATGTAAGGTTTATAATTTTCAAATGGTGATTTTTAAAAGAATTTGAGCACTGAAATCCCATAGGTTTCTTCTGATATATCTGGTCTGAATGTTGTTTGGCTTGTATAACAATCTTTTACCTGACAATATACCAACTCACTGCGAGATCTTTTTTCTCCTTTGTGACTTTTCTCAGGACTCATAATTATTTGAAATATTTTAAATCAAACAAACAGAAAACAACAGGTTTTACATTTTCTTTTTTTTTTTTCCTTTTTGAGTAAAAAAAAATAAAAAAAATTAAAAGAAAAAATCTATCTCTATGGCTAAGATTTTCCAAGGTATTCTTACTTATTTAAAAATGGAAGAAAGCAAAAGGTATCATCTTGACATTTTCATTCTGCTATACTAATAGACGAATAAAACTAAAAATTAATTTCATTCTTATTTGTTTCCATTCTCATAAAATGTCCCTTTTCTGGTCAGAAATATGAGCCATCTTCCAAACTGATTTGTTCTGTTACTTCCCAGTAGACATAATTTCTATTTTCAACCAGCTATAGTTAAAATCAACAGGAAGATTCCCACTAATACAAAAGAGAGTTGGATCAGGCAGAATAGCAACAATTAGATTTTTATGTAAAAGATATTCTTTGTTCTGGAAAAAAAAAAGAAAAAATAAATTAAAAAGGAAGAAAGAAAAAAAGCATGTTTGTGCTTTTGCAGGTAAAACAGATGACATTATCAGTCACCATTGTCAACATGGTAAAAGAGGAAAAAAAGTTTTGCTATCCTTCCACCTAGATATTTTTGTAGAAAGTATCTTTTCTACAAAATCCTAAAAATTTAGGACCATGATATATCAAACCACTGAAAGATTTTACAATTTTTACTGCCAGGAACCAAGCTACAAACACCACTGTTTTTTACCCACAGTATGACAGTTAAGAATGAACATTCATCACACAGAGAAAAAAATTCTTTGCCTGCAAATGCTCAACAAAATGCCCCCATGCTCTCCTTAAACAAATAACTACATAGAGTTATCCAGGTGTAACAACAACTTAAGAAACAGTATTTGTTTGTTGTTTCAGACATACGGTTCTAATTTAAAATATAACTGCACCCAACCAGACTCCTGCATCCACACAGGGTATCACTGGGTTAGGCAGGGCTCTACACAGGTTCAGATTCTGCTTGCAGGGAGTAGTTTCAAGACTGAGACCTACAGCAAGACTTGAGAAAAAAAAAAAAAACTATTTCAAAAACCTCTACACTGTTCAATATGCAATAGACAGAATTTTCTCTAAATGAGTTTGGAGTCCTTTATCACAGGCCTCTAAAAACTGTTGTTAGCGTTATACATTAAAAATACTGAAGTAATAAAAAAGGATATTTTTTGCCTGTTTGCTTGTTTCCTTCTATTGTACCATTAAGCTATAAATAATTTTAGGATAGAATGCCTAGGTATAAATGAAACTGTTAACCGATCGTGTTTGCTGATGTCCCTTTCTCACACTGCCCAAGTTGGCTCCATTAATCCAGCATCTTCTCTTGTTTCTTGCCTTCCTTTTTCTTCTTCTTGGATTCTGTCAAGACAACAATAACCACAAACAGTCAGCATCTAAAAGTCCCTGTAATAAACTTCATCCAATATCCCTGAAAGTTCCCCTTTATTTCTCTATACACATAAGAACAGATTTTGTTTCCTGAGCAGAGAAAGGGGAAACTGAATAAAATGTATATAAAATGAACAATTGAGAAGCAAGGGAGGATGGGAATGGGGTGCACTTCTAGTTCAGTCCCTTCATATCTGAGCACTGACCCTGCTTGGCATGCAGAGCATCGTGTCAGGAACTTGTTCCAAAAACAAGAAAACAGCAAGTGGCTCCTGGAGAAACCAGGTCATGGCTCAGCAGAGAGCTGGAATAAAGCTCTGCACACACTACCCACACACATACCCCTCCCTTGCTTCCTTTCTATTTCATTGTTCATCTTTGGCTTTCTCTGAATATGAAGGCAACTCCAGAGCGTGGTAAGAGCTCACTTGTTTCTTCAGCTTCTCCACTGCCAGCCCTTCCCCATTTGTTTGGAACAAACACCTGTGCACGCTTGAGAGGCAGCAGAGGTTTGGTGTGATCTGTCCAGATGATTAGTACCAACAGGAGCGCTTGCTGCTCTGACTAATGTGGGGTGGGCAAGGGAACAATGTGAAGATATAAGTAAAAGTGTATATGTTATACCCACAGTAACTTCCACCATAATAAAGGGTAATGCTGTCTTCTATGCGGAGAAGAAATCAACAAAGAAGCATAAAAAATGAGTAAGAAATGAAGGGGATTAGATACTTTTGTCCCACATACAATCTTGTAACGGGGCAGCTAACAACTCTGAGAGAATGAATAAATCCTCTGAATATCACTGTGAAAGGCAGAAAAACAGAGACTACAAGAGATGGAAAATGAGTTTCTGTGAAGTAGTTGTCTGGAAAGAAAACAGTAAGCAGTAGACTCATGTTTGCCTTAACATGGGTTTCACTGATAGACACTTCCCTCCTTTGAATTCTGCCTTTATTCCTTCCTTCTCAGAGGAAAACAGAAAAAAAAAAGTCCATCTCAGGTGAAGAGGTAAAGTAACATCCATCACCCTGAATGAAAAAGTGAGCTCTTAGTCTTTAAGGAGGTCTTCTTTGTGAATATGATTATTTTCTCCTTACCCAGTTCATGTAACACCAACAGTCAAATAGCCATCAACTCCAGTAAAACTAATTTATTTTATTAAAGCCAAAGAAGCTCTGTTGATATCCTTCAGATAAGAAAAAGAATAAAGTACCTTAGGACAAGAAGTAATTGTTTTCAGTTTGAAAATGTAAAAATTATTTTTATTATTACTTTATTATTTCTCTGCCTTTTTGTGTGAGTGCATGTGTATGCATGCCTACAGCCTGGAGCCATTTCTAGAACCTGGTATTATTTTACAAACTATCATTACAAAATGTCATTTTTCGTTAATACAGAATTTGCACTCAGCTGAAGCTTTCTTTTTCCCCTACTACTTTTCTTCTCCCCTTCTAATCTCTTTTACTCAAGTCTTTCTCTAAATTTCCTGTTATATAACTGATCCTCCTGGATTCTGCACTGCATTTATTGGCCTATCTTTCTGTGTCCCTTTTCTATGTTTTCCAAGAAAGAAACAACATTTTATTGATAGTTTATCAAGACAGGCACTAGGATTTGTAAAATCTATTCAAACCTGGCACACACAAAAAAATAAAAATAAAAAATAAGGCACTCTGTAGGCTTCAATTACATTCACCTATATTCATGAAAACAGATGTCTGAATGTGGGCTGACTAATAAGAGTACACTACCAAAGAGAAAAATATGTGCAGCTCACTTTTGGGATGATGTCACTTATTACCAGGAGAAGGTTTTATTCAGCAGTCATTACGTGATCAAATCAGATCGCCATCTCAAAGACCATGTCTTGCACTTGACTTATGGTCCCAGCCTGATGTCTGTATCTACTTCCCAGTGAAAGGGAGAAGCTAAACTCATTCCAGTGTCCACCTTGCAATAATCAATTTGCAAATCACACAAACTGCCAAATCCATCTACCTACACAGGGAAGTGTTTTTGCTTGATGCCTTGCTCCCACCTGGGAGGTCATTCCTCTCACATTGATAGTACTCACACTGCCAGAGCTTAATCTTTCAGACAGTTTTGCTGTATTGATGCAAAGCATACTTACTTCATGAAATCACATGTAACCTCAGAGTTGTGGCAATATAAAAAAGAAAACAGCTCAAATATTTCCCAGTCCTTAGGCTCTTTTAAGAACTCTACCCTAGATGTCAATATCCATATAATGACCCATCAAAATATTGCTGTTCATGCTGTCTTGCACAAGTCTGCTCACAGCTATCCTCCACCAGCTTTGACTGTATTCAGACTACAGTATGTCCATGGCTAACTACAGAAAGTTGCTTTAAAATGCACTGTGTTCATGTTTTCTCACTGCTCAGATCTCTGCTAATATTTGTGTCACTTGGTCTTTCACTGTCCTCATGTTTATTCACTCTACATTGCTGCCTCAACTTTTATGTGCTTTAAAGTCATCTCACATGCCACTCTGTGATCTATGTCACCCTGATCACTTTGCCAGCATTTCTCTTTCCAGGGTAGCCAGCCACTCTATACTGAAAGGGTCACCATGCCAGCAATGCCAGCCCTGACAACATGATTGAAAGCCCTGAGCAGTTTAGAGTTCAGTGCCAGTTACCTCAAAGCTCAACTGCCCCTTACTCCTGCTACACACATCTACCAGTTAAGGGGGGGAAAGATCCCCAAGATACACCACCACCAATAATCCCATTCAGATTCCTACTCCATATAAGAAAATTACCAAAATTAGCACAGATTGTATGCAAGACCATCTCTGGCATTTCCTTTCAGGTTTTTTAATGTGATCACTGCCCACTGTCAGAATCTGCAGTAACTCCTCAAGCAATACACACTGAAAATAGACTTTATGCTAGGAAAGCCACTATGCTGCTTTCCACATTTCACTGACACTACAAAGCAGCTTGATTTCAACGATTTCTGGGGCTGTGCCAGAAGGAAGAAAGAAAAGGAACACAGTGAACAAAGTCTACCTTGAGCAACCACTACCATCTGCAAGAACCCTGGGGTCAACAGCAGCCTCCTTCACCTCACCTACCTAGCTAAAGCAAAATTTGTAAAGACGGAGCTATGCCCCTTTGCATTGGTTGTGTATTAGCTACAGAAAATGTATTTGCTGCAGACAGGTACTACCAAGAATATGCAGTCACTACAATGAGGTGATTGAAATTGATGAAAGCCAGGTTCATACCAGACCATACTAAATTTTTAATCTGAATTCTAATTTTAATCTGAATCTATACACTGCATTACCTGCTTCAAAAGTAGGTGGTTTGATATGCTTAGTACTGAGTCATTTACTGGAGGTGTCTTTATGAGCTACCTCTGGGGAATTCAGGACCCATAAGAGGAGGGAGCAAGGCAGAAAGCAGGATCATCACCTGTGCAGTGAAAGGAAGGACACAGATAGATGTTTGCCTGTTGCTCTGAGTGCACTATGTGATATTGCCCTAGCCAAACTATCCTGCCACCTCTGGCATGGCTTAGTACACAGCAGTTAGCTATAACTCATCCAGGCTTCCTTCACATCAAGGAAATACTTAGTTTTACCACCCCTATATATCCTTGCAGCAAAACAAAAGGACCAGGAGAGTGAGCTATGCATAGTCTAGAATATTAATGAGAATGGTAAAAACCACTCTCAACTTTTGCATCTGTTTTATAGCATGTGCTTTCTGCTGTCCCTCCTCCTTCTCTCTTATCTCACAGTGAGAGAGCTCTTGTGCAGCTGGAGGCTAGAATCCTGGACCTGGGCAAATGCAAAGAGCAAATTCAGAATACTTGTCTGTTCCTGCAGAGAGCAGCAATCAAGCACTGCACAGACATCTAGCTCCCTCCAGAACTCAGAGCACTGCTAGTGAGATAAAAACACCCACGTAGCATAGTACAAATAGCCCTGCAAGAGCCAGCTGTGTTGCTGTACACACACTTGATTTTGTAATCATTCAACAACCTGAACAGCCTTATCTTGAACAACTGTTCATAGGATTAAATGCTAAATTGTCACGGGCCCAAATCTGCATGAAGACCAAGAAAAATGCAGCAAATTTAAGGTGAGGACTTTACTGAGTAAACAAATTAATCTGATAAGCAATTTGAAACGGCAGCAATTCTCCTTAAATAACTGTCTTTATTCTGAATTCATTCTCACTGCGCCTGCAGTAAAGGAAAGTAATTATATCGAACAGAAGCCACGTACGATGTGAAGCCACTATTAATGAATAAGGTACAAAAAGGAAGTAATTGCATTTTAATGGGAGCCAAGCACAGAAAGCCAGGACTTGCATGTATTTATTTTCCTTTGTGGTGAAGAAGGTAAAAATTCACTCATGGATTGCTGAACTCCTCCTATACACGAGATCAAGAAGTGCCCCCAAAGGTTGTAAAAACCCATTCAAAATTTCAAAAGCTGTTAGAGGTAAGCATTTCAGCACCAGGTGTTCAGGACACAATTTTCTCAGGAATTAGCACTCTGTCCCACTCAGTACAGAGGAAGACAGGTTTCCTAAAGGGCTCTCCCTCTCTCACTGGGGTAAGTATCTCAGAGCACTTGATTGCTGTGGTGGTGGTCATCGAGTACGGGGCAGGTCTCAGCTTTGAGAAAATCAAGGATTTTGTCCCTTGGTAAAAAAAATAAAAATATATAATTTTTTAAATTTTAAAAATCACTGTACAGGGATCACTATACAGGGCTTCACCCTGATCTGTAGGAACAGAAGCAGTACTACCTCATGATTTCCATGATTACAGAAGCCAATCTTTTGATTCTGAAATGCCTTTTAAATGTGGTATTTTTTCTACTGCTATAGAAAGAGAAGCGTTTACTTACTCCAAATCAGTTTAAGAAGTTAAAAAAAAACAAAACAAAACAAAACAAAAAAAAATACAATAGCAATTTTGTTCCAAAA